GAAATTATAAACATGTGATGTAATAAAGGTATTAGCTAACACTACTGTAATAACCACATTGTAATACATAAACATAAAGTACCAAAACAATATGTAGGCTTTAAACTTACATAATATTATATGTCAATTATATGTTAATTAAAAAAAAAACTTACTCACCAGGGAATCTGACCCCTATCTGAAGATAATAGCAGTCTCTAGCCAGGAGACATCATGTATTATTATACTATTAACTTTTTTTAAGACTCAGGTAAACTGTTTATTGGTTTCAGCATCTATGAACAAATTAAATATGATTTTATTTACTTTTAAAAATTTGCTCAGAATGACTTACTCTTTGCTGATGGGTTTTAAACAAATCATTTAGAAGATACTGGAAAGAATGCCTAGGCATTAGCATCTGTTTCTCTTGAGAGCAAAATTACTCACCCATCTTTGTGTTCATAATAAGAAATATTTGTTCTCTACTTGTATGAAACATTGTTTGGAACTTTGTCCAGAACACTCTGCTACTATCCTCAAATTTCTCTCTAAGAAACCAACATGAACAGTAAATGACTTGGAACATATTCGTTGTGCTCTGTTAAATGTGTGATAGCACTACAAGTAAAGTTTCTAGTTTTTGGTTAACCCTAAGGACTAGTCTTAGGGTCCTTTTATTCTCAGCTAAAAATATCTATTGACTTCAGGAGTGTTCAGCAGTATCTGAATGTCTGTTGTCCATGAATCACCCAAAAGATACATTTTTTTCCTGTTGGTGAATAAAGGTCTTAAAAAATTGGCTAAAATTACAAGTGAAGTGCTACTATATTAGAATTCTGGAATGTTGAGGTATCCTAAAACTGTCTAGGGTAATCTGTCCTGTGGTATCCTCCCCTGTGGCATCTATTACCTCTGTAATACATTCAAGGAGAGGATGTTCACAGCCTTGCAAGACAATCCACCTTTTTTTTTTTTTTAATTCTTACACTGAGGGTGGGGGGATGGGTTAGCCCGGTGATGGGTATTAAGGAGGGCATTATTGCATGGAGCACTGGGTGTTATACAAAAACAATGAATCATGGAACACTACATCAAAAACTAATGATGTACTGTATGGTGACTAACATAACATAATAAAAATAAAATTTAAAAAAATTTAAAAATTGAAAATTAAAAAAATTTTAAAAAATCCTTACACTGATCTACTTTCCACCTAGTTTAACTCTGGAACTAAGTCTATATATTGACCTAGGTCTGTATGCTTTGTTTTGTTTTGTTTTGTTTTTTTCCCTTGCTTACATACCCTTCCTTCTCTGCAAGCTGTTGGTTTCTTTAGGTTTCTCACCTGTTTTTGTTTTTAGTGAGGAGGACACTGTTTATCAGAATTTTTTTTTTTTTGAGACTTGCCTTTTCTGTAAAGTCATATTCCTATTAGAGACCTGGTCATTGGTATAACAGCTATGTCTTCATTGAACATTTTTGAAATTGTATATCCCAAAGTCTCAGATGACTATGACTGGATTTGCTTTCATTTGCATTGATGATTTCTAAAATGACACCATGTCATGAATCCAGGGTTTGTGTGGCAAGGGGAAAGAAATAGGATAGATTACATGAATCCAGGGTTCTCAAGTTCATGTCGCAAGGGGAAGGAAATAGAGATTAGTGCACTTAGGTCAATGATGCAAGCAACGTGGGGAGAACCATACCATCTGAATCTTAAGTCCACAATGTGGATCGATCTCCCTCTCTCTCTCTCTCTTCCACCCTGCCCTGTTTCCTCCCTCTCTCTCTGTCTCTCTCTTTCCCTCCCTCTTCTCACTGTCCCCCCTAGTGACCTTCTGTCTCTCCTTCTCCCGTCCCTTTTACCTTCCCCCAATGAGGATTTTGTCCTCATAATTGTTCCTTATGTATATTGAGAGCCACTAATATAGAGAAATGGTAAGAGATAAAATCACCTCTCCTATCACATTTGTAACTTTAAGGGCAATATCTTTATCTTTTATTTTTTTTGAGAGAGAGAGCAGATGCGAGTGGGGGGGGTGGGTAGGGGGGGAAGGAAAGAGAATCCCAAGCAGGCTCCATGCTCAGTGCAGAGCCGGACATGGGGCTCTAATGCAGGGCTCGATCTCACAACCCTGAGATCATGACCTGAGCCAAAATCAAGAGTCAGACTCAACTGACTGAGCCCCCCAGGGGCCCCAGCAATATCTTTATCTTATGATCTTGTTCTACTCTACTTTCTCAGTAATTCCTTTTTTGATGAGCACCAAGCAGACCCTTCTAGTATTTGCTTTGTATCTCTCTTCTCATCTGGCAATTTTAAAAATATTTGTCTTTATTATAACTATTTATATATTACATTTTATCTTTTTCACTTAATTTTAAGCTTCTTGAAAACAAAAACCATATTTTATTTATATTTGTATTCCTCATAGGGCTTCCCATGGTAGCTTCCTTTCACATAAATGATATTCTATATCATAATCAAATATTTGCTGAATGCCTGGAAGAATGATTGCACACCCCAGTTTAGTATCCCAGGAATCAACTGAGAAAGTAGCAGTCATCTTCTAAAATATGGGTCGGCAAATGTTTTCTGTAAATATTAGTAACTATTTTAGGCTTTGCAGAGCAAGAGGCAAACTTAAGGGTATTATTTAAGAACTTATGTAACAAGAGAAAATAGATTTTTCACAAAATTTTTCTTTATGAAATTTAAAATACAATAATAGTACAATTTTTTTGTAATACAAGTCTACTAATGAGAAAAAATAGAATGATTTGTGGGAGGAGAGATAATATTTAGCTTACTACAGTTTCCTATCCTCAAAATTTTCTTTTTATTTGTTGATGCTGACCTATAATGAGATTTTCCATGTTTTCCATATTTTATCTTTGAAAATTCTTTTCACACAGATAGGTACTGCCAAATTCATGAACGTATGATTTTAATTGGGCATATTCATTACTTGGAAGGAGTTTATAAAATTCTGTTAGATTCTTCTCTTGATTATTTGCCTTCTAGCATGTCGTTACACTGTATATTAGCATTTCTAGTTGAACTGTTAGGTGGGAACTCCTCAGCTGCACAGTTGAATGGATTTTGAGGTATAGAGATTTCTTCCCTCTAGTGCTAAAAAATGCTACCGAAAGAAGTTGAGCTCAGAAAATCTACCCACTGCAAATTTGTGTGGGAAATGAAGATCTCACTTATTGTTTTAATTTTTGACACCACAGGAAATGTATAAAGTTGCTTGATGTTACTTGTGATTCAAACATTAATTGTCATCAAAATGACTTTACCATGGTGTGCCTGGCTGGCTCAGTCAGTAGAGCATGTGACTATCTTGGGGTTGTGAGTTCAAGCTCCATGTTGGGTATAGAGATTACTTTAAAAAAAAATAACTTAAAAAAAAAACAAATTACTTGGGACGCCCAGGTGACTCAGTCAGTTAAGCATTCAACTCTTGAATTTGGCTTAGGCCATGATCTCAGGGTTGTGAGATCAAGCTCTGTATTGGGCTCTGTGCTGGGCGTGGAGCCTGCTTAAGATTTTTGCTCTCCCTCTGCCCCTGCCCCTGCCCTCACCCTTAAAAAAAAAAAAGAAAAGAAAAGAAAAAGAAAAAGAAATGACTACCAAAATATATGTTTCACATATAGACATTGTTTTGCCTTGTAATTTTAAGTTAAATTCATTGATAAACATGATAGAGTCTGCAGCAAAATCTAGTTTCTAAAGCCATTCTTTATTCAATAATAGAGGTTGAGGGTGGTTCTTCCTGTTCAAAAACATTTCAATCTCATTCTCAAAATATATCAATAAAACTTTATCCCTGCTAAGCCATCAGATTGCTGTGTGATAGAGAAAATTAGGATATTCAGTTTCTATTTTCACAAAAAAAATATCGCAGACTAGATAAAGGTTGCAAGAGTCAATGGAATTCACTGTTAGCACCACTGGTTCAAAAACACATGCTAGATCTGAGTGTTTTCCTCAGTGTACCTGGTGGTGAATAATACAATGAATATCCATAGCTTTAAATACCTTACATTTTCACAAGTTTTGTAAATTTGTTCAATAAATCTTTTTCCTTTGCATTGCTATCGGTTTTATCACACTTGAGCAGATTCCACTTGAGGTTGTACTGATTTCGTGTTTTAAATTCTTTGAAAATATTCTCACCTATGGTCAGTCTACAAACTGTTCACATAAGTTAGTTCTTCAGTCCCTTCAGGACAGCCTTGACCCCCCAAAGAAACAACTGAGTAGTATTGGTAGCATCTATTGATTCATCAAGAGGAAAGGAAAATCACTCAAAAGCATCTGCCTTGTTTTTTAATTGGCTACTGATACTGCTTCACTGTCTTTAACATTTCAGGCCCTTGTTCTTGCCTCAAGGCCAATAATCTCAAGCAAGTTTACTTTGAGGACATGATTTAAGTCATATCAATAAGTGATTTTCCATGCTGAGCTAACAAATGAACCACTCAAACTTTTTTTAAAATTTCTTAGTCTTTTTTTTAAATTGAAATCTATATAAGGGACATAAAATATTATCTTAGTTTCAGATATACAGCATAATGATTCAATATATGTATATATTGAGAAATGATCACAATAGGTCTAGTTAATAGCCATAGAATATTTTTCTTAAGGAAATATTAATCAGTTATTAGAGTTGTCATGCATACTCAGAATATAATACAGAATGTTAAAATACAACACACATACTTTACACCTAGGCTGTTTAAGTCCGAAGGTACTGACAGACTATACTGCCTCAGTATTTTCATTTTAAATACCTCAGACCATTACATTAACTATAATTAGAGACTTTAGGTGAGTCAAAACATTACTTGAATATTTCACTTATTTGGAAAAGAAGCCCAGGATAACTCTCAAACCTGGGCTGTGTGTCAACAGCAGCCTTTCAGAAGACCAACCCCTCCTACATATACTGAGCTTCTGGATGGATTTTTAGGAAATGCCCCAATTTTCATATCTTATTTCTTAGGGCACCAGAGGCAGCCCAGGAAGAACGGGACTGGCGGGGTCTCCAGGTCCTCGAGGAGCCAAGGGCTCATCAGGCCTTGCGGGAAGCCCAGGGGTTCCAGGCCCAAAGGTACTTTAACATTTTTCTCTGATAGATGAGCAGCACTATTGACAAACATATTGTCCCTGAGTTCATTGGCTAGATCACAGGATGGTAAGATTAATAGCTTTTAGTAAATTTGACCAAAAATAAATACACATTAGGAGGAAAAGAAAAATGTGTGGCCTGGACATACTCATCTCCTGTGATAGCCACAGTGCATGTAATTTGCCGGAACATCTCATTAACTCAGTATTGGCAATGCTTTAAAAAAATGGTCTTTGACTCGTTCTGTTTCTTCTTCCCTGTCATCCACCTTCTCCTAAAAAGAGAAATCTTATTTACTTCCAGATACATAGTTTCTTAGAAACACTTCCTATTCCTCTGAATCTGAATCTAACCAACCAATTAATAAATCTGATAAGAGTAGAGCTTATTTCTTAGAGTCAAAGTGATCATAATTAAATCTTGCATTAACATTCATTGTATGGAGTATTGTATATTCAATAAGGCTTTCTAAATAAAACCTGTTTTAGAACTATCTCAATGCAGAATTGACCCATACAACCCAGACAACTTTAGTTCAGTATCTAAAGCAATTTCATAAAAGACAAGGATTAAGATGTTGGCACCCTCATCATTATTACCTCTTAATTTGATTTTCATAGTTCCCATTCTAAGCAATGTTCAGGTATCTGACCCATATGGGTAAACTGGAAATGACTCATCCCTTTCCACTAAAATTCAGTGTAGCTGAGCCAATGCTAAAACTAGGAAGTGAAATAAAATTCCTATCTCTCAAGCATGAGTTGGCAATAAAAAGGATCCATATTTGTCACATCCCAAAGCTGTATCTTTGTTTCCAGACAGTGAAGGATAATTTGCTAATCTTAAAGAATCTTTGATCAAAATCTACCAAGCATCATTTTTCATGAACCTATCTCTAAACTCCTCCTGATTCTTATTTTTAGAGGTGGTGTGAAAGATACTGCAACTTTCATTTCAAAAATGAAACAAATTTAGAAAAGACTTAACTTGTACAAATAGAACGGTGGTGATTCAGTATATCTTTAAAGTGGAATTTTAGGAGATGAAGGGAGTATATATGAAAAGGGACCTTGGGAAACAGGTAATGGAAATTTCTTAATGATAGGATTGAAAAGATCACCATGGCAAAAACCAGGGCTCACACTTCAGGAGACCCCGCTCTGCTTCTGATATCAGCTGAATCATCTCTGTATGGTGAGGAAAACGCAGCAAAATAATACCAATTCAAATAAAATACAAATTCTATTACATATAAACACCCCCTCACACATACCACCTCTTGCCCTTCTCTCTTTAGCCCCACTATCCTCCTCATAGTTTTTAGGTCACCGCTTCCCTCTTCTTTCCACACTTACGACCACAATCCCTGGAATTTTCTTTCTCCACTGTTACACTTATTGCTTATTATAATCAAATATTACTGTGTGAAAATATTGGTAGGGAGAATGACCATGCAGAATTTGATTTCCCCAGTGCCTTGTACTTATGCCTAAGGATGGACCTGTATTTGGGTTTCATTTAAAAGCCGATATGTTTGTAGATTCTAAAGTCAAGATCACCTTTTTTTTTTTTTTTTTTTTTTTGGTGCATAGGGTGAACAAGGGCTACCTGGTCAACCTGGAATTCAAGGTAAAAGAGGTCACCGAGGAGCACAAGGTGATCAAGGACCATGTGGAGAGCCTGGTCTGAAAGGGCAGCCTGTATGTGCCAACTCAGAAATCCACTAAGTATTACTATTCTACAGGCCAGGCCACCATTGCACAATAATGATTATCCTGTCTATTCATATTGCAGGGAGAACATGGTGTTCAAGGTTTGACAGGTTTCCAAGGATTCCCAGGCCCCAGAGTATGTTTACACATTTTCTGCTGTTCATCAGAAAGATGTCGAAATACCAATATTTAGTCTCTGACTTGAGCCTTTGTATTTCTTAATCTGCAAAATTTCCATTGGTACAGTTATATATTTGAATTTTGAATATTAAATTAAGTATTAATTTTAAATTTTATGTAGCTATATATTTTCCTACCAATTTTATTGAATAACTCGCCTTTGTCCCCTCATATTCCATTTTCCCAAACATTTTTTTAACTTATTTTATTATGTTAATCACCATACATTACATCACTGTAGTGTTCCATGATTCATTGTTTGCATGTAACATTTTATTTTGAAAATTTTCAAACATACAGCAAAGTTGAGAGAATGAATGAAAACCCATATATCCATTACCTGGATTCTACCATAGCTTTTTATGGTATGGTAGAATTCTACCTGCTATCCTGAATCTCTCTGTCCATCTCTCCCTCTCTGAATTCATTTTGGTGTACTTCAAAGTAACTTGCATACTTCAGAACAATTCCTCCATAGTACTTCAGCATGTACATCATTAACTATCCGTTCACATTAACATTCCGTTTTTTAAGAGCCGACTCAATAGATTGTTACAAGATTATTTCACTTGTAAAATGTTCATATAGAATTAAAGATTTTGACTTTTTATTTTAATTATATTTTTAGGGTCCAGAGGGAGATGTTGGCATTGTTGGAATATCAGGTCCTAAAGGTCCTATTGGACAGAGAGTAAGTATAAAGTCATTCTACTTGCTGGGAAATTGTGATTCTTTGCTTATTGTGGGAATTAGCATTAAGAACTCTAAAATTAATATACTCCAAATTAATAACTTAATAAAATGACTTTTAAGATAGAAACTCAGTAGATCCCATGCAAAGGTTCTCAGCCTTTTTCAGTTAATATATTAATTTGAGCAAAGGACCCCAGAGACCACCCCTTTTCCCAGTTCTTACTTTAGAAAATATATATCAGAATTAATGTTGATACTGGATAATGTATTTATTAACTCACACTAGGAACAAAAACATAAAGCAGTTTCATGTTACAAGCATTAATACAACCAGAGACCACCCCCACACACCACTTGGAGGAGGCTTGCCACCAGAACTCCTCACACCACACTTTGAAAAATATTTCCCAATAGCTATGTTTTCCCAGCTCAGGGGTAGCTATCCCTGGAGTGTGATGAGGAACTGCTTAAAGAGTTGCAAAGGCTGGTGTCTGAAGAACTCTAGTTAGCTGCCTAGAATTCTGTCTAGAATTGCAGACTGTAGCAAATAGAAATAGTGCTAGGTAAGCCATCAGCAATTACTGGTTTTTGTTTGTTTGTTTTGCTTTTTGTTTTGTTTTTGTTTTCATTAACCACAGTCTCCTAATTGATGAGATGATCTATAAAACTGAAGGAAAAAAAAGCTATAAAATGCCAAAGAGTGGTTTGACTTTAGCAGTAGCACCCCCTTAACTAATAGCAGCTACTGGGGCGAGGGTGGAGACAGCAGAGAGAAGAAGCAGACAGGTCCAGAAACAGGAGAAAGGAATCTTGAAGAACTTTACAGCTGAAAACCACTATCTTGTGCAAAATATTAAATGAAAAGTCAAATTTTTGAAATCCTACACCCCTTCTCCAACTCTCACAATAAATTATTTTCAGTAATACAAAAGTCAGTGTTGTCATGAGAAATATTTGCTTAAAGACCCGCCTCAACATTTCTTCAGGTGCAAATTTATTAGTTATTTTTATGATTTCCGAAGAACCATGGAAAGTTGGTGCTTTTATATAAGGCCCAATTCTTGATTATCCACAGGTGGGTTATATGTGGACAGGCTTCTCTATAATAAATATCGCTTTTAATTTCTTATATATTAAATTTTCTACTAATTAAATACCTTCATTCTAGTTTTATGAAGTTTTCTCAATTAACTAGTCCTTTCTTGATATTGTCAAAGAGAAGTTGGCTCCCTGCCTAGCATCTGTCCTTACCAAGTGCTGGGTCTCTGTAGGCCAGAGCCTGAGCCTATACTGCTTTGCAGCTCCAGAAACTTTATCAGTTCACCAACAGTAAAGTTCTGGTAACTGCTCACAAATACTAATTTATAACAGCAGATATCTCTTATTAAGTCATTATAAAGACAATGAAAAGTCACAATAGGTTAAATATTTAGCAAAAAACTATTATTTACCAGTGTTCAGGTTGTGACCCTTATATCATTTAATCCTGATAAAAATCCCGTGTGAGATGCTATTATCCCCATTTTTCAGGTGGGGAAACTAAGTCTCTGATAGGTAATTTTCTCAAGGCCATATCTGGCTAGTAAGTAGAAGAGCCAAAATTTGAATCCACAGCTGATTGATCAAATAATATGTTATAAGGTTGCCTGCTAATTGCATAATTAGAATACAGAACGGATATTAAGTGGCCTAGTAACTAGTTCTTGCTCAATAATCAATAAATACTAGATGATTAAATAAATTAATTGAAGTAGGAAATTTGGATCAATTGTTCTTCATCTCAAAGATGTATTTATGTAGTTAGCTGGTACCAACCATTAAAATCATAACACCTCAGAGGCGCCTGGGTAACTTAGTCCATTAAGTGTCTGACTCTTAATTTCAGCTCAGGTCATGATGTCAGGCTTGTGAAATGGAGCCCCGCCTCATGCTCCTTGCTGGCGTGGAGCCTGCTTGAGATTCTCTCTCTCCCTTTTCCTCTGCCTCTCCCCCAACACCTCTCTCTCCCTCTCTAAAAGTATAAAATAAATAATAAATAATAAAATCATAACACCTCGTGTTTCAGACACATTTAGATAAACATAGACAATTTTTTGCTGTTTGGTCTACTGTTTTCTAGAGTTCATGTATACCTCTCCATTATTTTAACAAATCATTATTTTAGAGAGTCAGATCATGGTCAAGTTCATTAGATGAAAACTTTGTTGACTTTTTTCAGTGATAAACCAGTCTAGGGCTTAAATTTGATTAGGTTAAGAAATCAACTCTCTTGATTTGATTGTGGATCTTTGAGATTTGGGTACCGTATTTACAAATTATCACTTAAAGTCAGTCTTTGTATTTAAAAGCGATTCTATTAGATTTACTTTTATAGTACCAGCTAATTTATCTCATTCTAGGCTATCTGTGGATCGACTTTATGACATAATGATCTCAATTGCTAGTATTTTCTGTACCTTCGCAGGTGTTGGACAAAGAGAAAGCCTATTAGATAACTACGTTTAAGAATTCAGGTTAAGTGTGAGCCAGAAAGACTGAAATTTGCTGCGAGTGGGAGTGGAGGTTGAGGGAAAATAACTACAACAGGTATTTTGTATTCATAAATAAGTGGTAAGTCAGACAGAGAAAGGAAATTACAGTATGATCTTACTTGTATGTGGAATCTAAAAAATAAAACAAGCCGGGGCGCTTGGGTGGCTCAGTTGCTTCAGCAACTGCCTTTGGCTCCGGTCATGATCCTGGAGTCCTGGGATCGAGTCCCGCATCGGGCTCCCTGCTCAACAGGGAGTCTGCTTCTCCCTCTGACCCTCCCCGCTCTCATGTGCTCTCTCTCTCTCTCTCATTCTCTCTCTCTCAAATAAATAAATAAAATCTTTAAGAAAAATAAAAATAAAAAAATAAAATAAAACAAGCCAACAAAACAAAACTGAAGCAGATACGTAGATATAAGGAAACAAATTGTTGGTAACTAGAGGAGGGGAGGGGCTGGGGACAGGCAAAATAGGTGAGGGGAATCAAGAGGTACAAACTTCCAGTTATAAAATAAATAAGTCATGAGGATGTAATTTATAGAATAGGAAATGTAGTTAGTAATATTGTAATAGCTTTGTATACTAGATAGTAACTAGACTTAATGTGGGGATCGTTTTGTAATGCATAAAAATATTGAGTCACTGTGATGTACACCTGAAACTAATAGGATATTGCATGTGAGTTATACTTCAATAAAAAAAAAAGATAGGTTCCATACATAGTCAGGGAAGAGTTGACCAGATTGAGCTTATTCAAAGTTATCTTCATAATAACAGCTTACAGTTTCAAAATCATTTTTCACATTTAATTCTCACAATGGCCCTATGACACAGGCAATCTTATTTAACAGATGGAGAAACTGAAGTTGGTCATATATGATGTTCTGTGTTTCTTTCCCAAACCTTCTCTCAATTCTATACTGCACGTCACTCAGACATCTCCTTCAACGTCTATAAAGAAAGTTATTCAAAAATTTTTTCTTTTTTTATTATTATGTTCAATTAGCCAGCATATAATACATCATTAGTTTTTGATGTAGTGTTCAACGATTCATTAGTTGTGTATAACACCCATTGCTCATCACCATATGTGCCCTCCTTAATACCCATCACCCGGTTACCCATCCCCCCAACGCCCCCCTTCTGTAACCCTCAGTTTGGTTCCTGGAGTCCAGGGTCTCTCATGGTTTGTCTCCCTCTCTGATTTCTTCCCACTCAGTTTTCCTTCCCTTCCCCTGTGGTCTTCAGTGCTATTCCTTATGTTCCACATATGAGTGAAACCATATGATTGTCTTTCTCTGCTTGACTTATTTCACTTAGCATAATCCCCTCCAGTTCCATCCATGTCGATGCAAATGGTGGGTATTCATCCTTTCTGATGGCTGAGTAATATTCCATTGCATATATGAACCACATCTTTTTTATTTTGTTCATCATTCTATGTAGTCTTTTTTATGTAAAGTAATTGCATTTGTTATGTAACAACCCATGTGTAAAATGGCATCATTGAAGTTATCACCACATAAAAATTGGAATACTGATTTATCAGTTTGTTAGAAATTATACAGATGTAACTCTCCTGATAGGAATCTATAATAACATATAGAATTGTGTCACATACTGCAAATCAAAAGTACTATGATTTCTTCTGATACTCTAAGATTTTATACTAAAAACTGGAATTATGTGCACATGGACTATTTTACCGTTGCACAAGAAATTTTCTAGAATTTTTCTGCATTATACTGGCAGTGAGACTGACTGATTTTCTTTTACCTCAACAGGGAAACACTGGCCCCTTTGGCAAAGAAGGTATAATAGGCCCAACAGGTAGAACTGTAAGTTTGTTACAATATAGGTCTTCCTTTTCTTTTTCATATTCTTGTTTTTTCCTCTTTAACCCTATTTCTAGAGTAATCCAAAAAGGATCACCCTGGGTATTTGAGAAGCCAAGGGCAAAAATAGATGTACATTTTCATTTAGAAGGTGGTTCCTGAGAACTTAGAGATCATATGTGTAATGAAGGGGGTGTATATAGTGAGGTAGACACTTAAAACTTGAATTAAGAAAGGAAAATAGAACTGGAGCAGGGGAGAAGGGGCTGAGCATCATTAGTATAGAGGTGATCACTAAAGCAATAAAAGGAATCCATTTTCTGAAGGAGAAAGCTTAGCAAAAGAACTGCAGGCAGCCAAGATTTGAGTCTTTGGAAGTGCCGACCTACTGTAAAGGAAAGAGATAGTTTGTGGGAATACCAGGAAAAACAGAAAAGCACAAGGTTCAGATAGATGAGTTTCAAGTAGGGAGTGGTTAACAGTGATCTTTAAGAAAATAAATTGTAGTAGAAGCTAAAGTAAGGAAGGAAATAAATATCAATATTTAATAACTTTTCTCAAATTCCTGCAACAAACTTTTGAAGTAGGTATTATTATTTCTATTTAAGACATGGGGAAACAGATTAAGTTTACAGAGGTTCACCTAGTTATTCAGGGTGGTACAGCTAGTGAATTACATAGGTGATGTTTCTTCAAGATCAGTGCTCTTTCTGCCCCCATTCAAGCTGTGTCTGGAGAGGAAATTGAGACAGTTAGTAGAGGCCAGTGCCTTTAGAAATTTGAGTACGAAATAAAACAGAAAAATAAGACAATGGTTGGCAGAGTGGTCAGGGGAGAGTTTGACAATACTAACAGTAGTATAAACATACAAGAGGAAGAACCCAGTAGGTAGGGGCAAGTTGAGATTTGGAGAGGAAAGAGGTATTCCCTGTAGGGAATCAATATTTTGAATCCTTTGAAAGTGTTATATGGAGAGACACACAGTCTTAATATATAAAATGGAATGCTTTGAGTATAAAGTATATTCTCTTTGATAAATTAGGGAAGAATTTCCCACCAAAATTGCTGAGTTTTTGGCTTTACAAAATAAAAAGTGTAACTCAACATTTCTCTAGATTTTCAGCATTTACCACTCAGAGCCATGTAGTCTAAGTGGGATATTTTAAGTGGGAGAATTCTCAGATTTTGGTGGGTGGTTCTTCAGCAAGCTAAGAAACACATATTTGTGATTACTGAATGATTGTTCTCCTCTGTCAAAAAATGTGAAAATTTAATTGGTCAAGGAAACTATAATAAAGAAATGGCCCAATTAAAATATCTTTTGTTTGTAGATAGTTCTTAAAGGTCCTTGTGATATTCAACATGCACATCAAATATTTTCCATATTCCATTTTTTCCATTCTAAGAAGAAACTTCTAAGAAAAGCTCACTATGAAAGAATAAGCACTTGAGAATGGCCAATACTTCGTGGAAAAAAAAAAAATAGTGGTGGGGGACAAAAGACTTGCTTTTCCAAATAAGGAAACATTACTTCTAAGTCATTGTAAATGAAACTATATGGTAGTACAAAGGAATAAACAAATAGATGAGTGTAAACAGGCTAGAGCCCAGAATTAGATCTCAGAATATATAGGAATTTAATTATAACAAAAATGGTATATCAGGATGATTGGGGCTATAAATTAATAGGAACCCTAAATCAAACTGGTTTTAATAATAAGGAAATTTATATCACATATGGGAAGCCCAGAGGTAGGAAGGGCTTCAGATTTGGTTAATTTAGTGACTCAATCATGTTATCTAAGACCAGGTTCTTTCCATGTCTCTAGTCTGCCATCCTGAGTGGTAGCTTCATAATTAGGCTTCTAGCAAGATGACTACAATTTCTCAGCAATTACATCCAGACGTAATTATCCAAAGTGAAAACAGCCCTATCTTGAGAAAAAATAAAGTTTTTTTCCAGAAGTCTCCCATAGCATTTTTCCTCATGTCCACTGATCAGCCACATGCCCATTCCTATACCAGTGATAGGGAAGGGAGATGGAATTATTTTTAGTCCTACTGTTGCTGTAAGAAATTGGAACCCTATTTCACCCAACTTCTTTAATCTTTTTTTTTTAAAGACTTTAAAGTCTAAAAAAAAAAATCTAGAAAGCTAAAGTGTAGCTTAAGGGTTGAGAAGACCTTTTATATAAGAAAGGAAATCTTAAAACTATATAAAAGAACAGAATATGTATTTGCTTGAAAATTTTAAAATTTTGAATGGAAAAAGATTCCATAAACAAAATTAATATAAGCTGGGGAAAAGTAATTGCAAAAACATATAATGACTTCATGTATAAAGAGCTCTTACAAGTTGGTATGAAAAAGATAGAAAACTCAATAGAAAATTGAAGACCAAATCCAAAAGGTCAATAATTATTTGGAAAGATGCTCTCCTAACTTACAGTCACAGAATGCAAATTAAAGTAATAATAAGATATTACATCTAACTTCTCAGAAGGGTATTAGGGAGAACAGTTTATCACTAGTCGAAATGTGAATTATCGCCTTCATGGAAAGATATTTGTTAAAATGTAAGTGCATATACCTTATGACCAATCAGTTTCACTTGGAGGAATTTGTGCCATAGAAATTAAGCACTCAGTATGCTAAGGAATGTTTACAAAGATTTTTTTCACAGTAATGGCTGTATTAGCAAAACTTGAAATCACATGTTCATCTGTAAAAGAATGGTTGTGTAAACCTTGGTCTAGCCATTTCATAGAATACTACGCGAATATTAAAAACAGTTATATCTAGTTCAGCTACCTTGTGGTTGTTCATGATGTATTGTTAAGTGTGAAAAATCTGATGCATACAAGAGTATATAATATGATATCAGTATTATAAAATATAACCAATCACCCCATACATACATAAATATATTTGTCAATATTGATTAGGAAAAAAGGTATGAAAAAACGTACATACCAATTTGTTAATACTGGGCTGGAGGTGTGGGGGGCATAAAAACAAGTTCTATAAAGGTATCTTAAAAATTAGTTTTTGAAAGTTAATATCCCAGTTTAAAAGGAGTTCAGAACAAGACAGGAAACACAAAAGAAGTGATATCAATGGTGAAATAATGAGATCGTATTTTTAGCCTGCAAGTTGAACAAAGAATGATAGTACATGGTGTGTGTCAGAAGACATACACTCCCCTATATTGCAGGCGTGCATGCAATCTCAAACAAACTTTCTGGAGGACAATTTTTATAGAGTACAAGGATATTTGTCACAGTGTTATCATGACCAAAATTAGAAATAATCTAATAGAAAATTCAACAAAAAGATTATAGTTTGTTAAGCACAAATAAGCATTATAATTATCTGGAAGAATGTGGATTAGTATGGAAAATATTCATAACGTATTGTGAAAGTATAAATTCAGGTTTTGAAAAGATGAATAGTATTATCTCAATTTTAAAATAAAAAATACATATATAATTTCCACAAGGATGAAAACAAAAATATTAGCAGAAATTTTTTAAACAGTACATCCATCTCATAACAGACTATACTTTGTCTTCAAGTGTATATGGAAAAATCACTGAAATAGACCGTATTTTGAATCATTAAAAAACTTTTTACTAAACTTAAGAGAACTGAAGTCATACAAGGTATGTTCTATGGCCATAATGGAATTAAAGTAAAAATCAGTAAACTGGAAGGATAATAAGAAAATCTCCAAACACTTGAAAATTAAACCGTGTGCTTCTAAATTATCCGTAGATCAAAGAGAAAGTCTCAAGGAAAGTTAGAAAATATTTCAAACTGAATGTTCTTGTTTGCAACGTAGCAAAGTTTGTGGGATGTAGCTCAGAAGGAGGAATAGAAAGAGAAAATGAAAGAAAAGGAGGACATCACCCTAGAAACAAGGTTTTCAAAGGCTGAAGTAAACAAATGTTAGAAGAATTTAATCTGGTAACTTCCCTTCTAAATTGCTCTGTATTTGTCAGATCAGCTGTTTTGACTTAACTGAGTGCTTGTTATCCCTGTCTCACTTTGTGCACAACATGATAAATCAATAAATTGTTTTTGTTTGTGTTTTGCTTTGCTTACTTTAGGAAAAGGAAACTAGAATTTATATAAATTTGCTAAAGAAGCTCTTGCTAGATAGAAAGAACAAAAACATAAGTTATCATGTTTCTGTATATAGCCTCAACTACATTGGATAAATAACTCAGTAGCACTAAACCGACATTTTTTGTTTTCTTGTAGGGACCCAGAGGTGAAAAAGGCATCAGAGGTGAAACTGTAAGTTTAAATTTGTGGTTATATTATCACTTGTCACTAGGCTATGTAAGTTCCATAAAAGCAAGGGCCTTGTTTGATTTTTTTCATTATTATGTCTCTAATACTTGTGGAACAAAAATAAAATTACAGTTTTCAGGAAGTAGAACCAACCTTTATGGTACATTGTAGTGAGACCTGAATATAACCCCTAAACATGTTTAAGAACCCGCCAATCAAATTCTTCCCAGGCACTGTGTGAAATGGCATATTTGCCTTGTCGGGCATCAGGTATTTGCTCTGTGAGCCTTCTACACCAGTGCTGGGGCAAGAGCGCCGCCAAGTCGCCTTAGGGGTATGCCCACTGTGTCCAGTCAGCACCCAAGAGGGGCAAAGCAGAAGCAAATCATGAGCTATATATTGCAGCCAATTGGAAACAATTGTGAAAGGATGGACAAAAGGTACAGAGCACATTCTGGCCCTATATGGCTTATGCTGGCATTATTTCCTACTTTTATGGGATGCCAGTTCTTCCAGGTTAAAGAAGATATTTTGTAAAGAGGCCACTTTCCCAGCAGAGATTCTGCTGAACTTACTAAAGCACGAGCTTAAACAGAGCGCAGGCATGGAGTAAAATGAGGGAGAGTGAAACCAAGTACAGAAGGCAAATAAGAATAAACTTAAAGGTTGCAGAAAAGTCTTGCTTGAAAGGTAATGAAATTACATTGACCCAGCTGACATTTTCTCTTTTCACCATAGGGTATGCTTGGGGCTCAGAATAAGTACATTGCAGTTACGTTAATTAGCTGAAGAAGGGAAATTAAGTGATTTTAGATAGCCTAAGGATCCCCAGAGGGATCAAAATAGATATTTTTCTTCTTCTTCTTTTTTTTTAAGATTTTATTTTTAAGTACTTTCTACACCCAACATGAGGCTTGAACTCACAACCCCAAGATCAAGAGATGCACGCTCTACAGACTGAGCCAGCCAGGTGCCCCAAAATAGATGTTTTTAATTTGCAGAAGCATGGCCTTCATATTTCCTCAGGGGACTTACTCTAGCAGGAAGCAAGGATGACTGCACACAGTGAAGTCATATCCCCCCGGAGGAGTGGAAAGGGGAAAGGAAAAGTAGAGAGGCTTGGAATTAGCCCACTTTCCAGACTTGTCTGTTTCCAACTGCCTTCCCGACCTGTTATCTCCAAGTTCTGTGGCTGGAACATAAGCTTTTCTCAGGGTTAGGAAACCACAAGTCCCTATGACAATGTCACAGGCATATCGTATGAAAGAAAATTCAGTGGCTCTGATGGATTGCAAATTCAGCGGTTGTGCTGATAGACATATGGCATCCAGAATAAAGCAGGTGGTGGCACCAGTCAGGCCATCCCCACAGGGGAACATGGACAAAAGTAAAGCACATTCAGAGAAGGGCTCTCTCAGATCAGTGATGTATCCCCGAGCCATGTCCTTGAAAAACCAGTCGAAATAGCTGGAATGTTTTGCCCTTGCCAGACTTCTGCAACCTGAGCATCCCTTTCCTTTGTTCTCACTGCTTTCTCTTCACTTCCTGAGTTTTGCACCTGCTTTTTCTTGTGCATGCTCTTTATCCCTATGGTTCCTATTCATGAAGTTGTAATTTAAGGATAATTTGCTCAAGGTGGACTTCCTTGCTGACACTTTATCCTCAACCCAACTGCCACCTGTGGACATAAGAACTAGTAGTCAGGACATAGTACAAGGCCTGGGAAGTGTTCCTTAGTCTTGACTTAAATGTCCTCTTCTCAGAGAGGCTTTTTCTCACTAGCCTATGTAAAATAGCAATGCCCCCATCTGCCTGAGATTCCCTATCTTTTCTTAACCTGCTTCCTTACAACCTGACATATTACATAGTTATTTGGGTTTCTTGCTTTATTATATCTCGCCTCACTAGATTATGGGCTCCATGACACAGACAATTTTATCTGTTGTTTGTTATAAAGCTGTGTCTGCAACATCTAAGATAGTACCTACCTTATAGTTTTTGTTCAGTAAATATTTAGTAAATTACTGGTGAATGAGTTAGAATACATTTGAGGTGTTGGGACATGATAGTTGTCTTTAAACATTTGAAAGGAAGAATCTGTATAATATGAGTGACTCTCGAGGATAAATTTTAAATTGTTTATTTGTTGAACTGAATTTTCCATTTCTGTGTTTAAGTAACTGACTGCTTAAAGACTTCTAGGTACCTGTTATGTTTCCGAATATATCCTCAAGGCGGTCAGCCTCAAATAATACCAGTACATGGGGCATTTTTGGAATGAATTTTTATTAGCTAAGATCTATTGTATTGAGACAAATATGATACTTCACTCTTCATACAAAGATCAGAAACATAAGAATCTATCAAGCAGGATTTATAAATCTTTTAAATCTTCTGTGAAGCTGGCATAAGAATTTATAAAGCTATGCCATTTTATACCAAGACCAAATCATTACTCAATGCCTTAAAATTAAAAAAAAAGGTTACAGCTCATTATACAATACATGAATGTAACCCCTTGAGAATAAATTTGGGTTTCATGGCTGGGAAGCTTTATATCTTCTACAATTTAACATTATAAACTCTAGTGTTGGTCCCAAATAGGTCCTCTCCACCGCAAAGAAAGTTGTTTTTGTATTGCCATATATTAAAGAGTGACTTTTTCCTTTCTATTCTGTATCTGCTCCATATCTGCCTATACGTGCTCCATATCTGCCTGCCTATGGACTATTTTAAAAATAAGTCCTCGCACTTATATATATATATATATATATATGCTCTAAACTGACCCAGAGTTTTATGACGTCCTAAGAAGCCTTCCTAGCATATAGCACGTAGAACCCCCTCCTCTCCCCTGCTTCAAAACTATTATGTTAATGGCAAATTAATCTTAAAAAGTTATAAAAATCTCCTGGTTTCCATAAGGCACCAAACACTTTTAGAATGTGATTAATTTATGAAGTAAGTAATGCAAAAATGATCACTAGAAATAAAAGATACAATTAGTAAAAAAATAAAATTTTAACTCATAACAAAAATAATATCCTGGTGTCAATCATCTGAAAGGATTTTGACAAAATGGCACAACTTGAAACATATAGCTTAAAGCCACAGAAGCAGAAAAAATAGAGAATGATCTCAGCATTTAAATTTTTAGATTAGCTGTCTCATTTTTATAGCATATTATTTAATGGAAATCAGTAAAATGTTGAAGAATACAATTGTCATTTTCTCACATATTACATCTAAGTTCATGTGTCTTTACAGTTCTTGATTAGCAGAATTATCTTATTTGCCTCCAATTTGAAAGTGAAGAAGATGCCTTATAAGGAAAAGCTAAGTTATGGGAAAATATGTCCTAAATATTAACAAATTAAGAATTTAAAGTACATATGTATATGATTCTTTTTAAAATTCATAGATAGTGTAATTCATTCAAATAAAAAATTATCAAATTCTTTTAATTCAAGTACATACTTCCTTATATTCATACAAACTTCAAATTTAAAATTCCCAACTTGTATGTGTGTGGTCACCTTCTTTCTTCAAATATAAAATATGAAGAAGAAAATTGATAAAATGTTTGAAAATCACAATTTTAAAGTGAATCTTAGATATTTATCTTCACCAAATCTTGTTACAGTTGAGATATCTGAGATTCAAATGTGCAGCAACTCACTCAAGGACATATAGTTAATTAGGTACAGAGATAAGACCAGAGCCCAGGTCTCCCAATTCCCACACTATTGTACTTTTCTATTAATTATAGTATGTCTCAGAAAATAAGCTTTAGGAGCAACTTGGGCAAGGAGATGGTATAGATAGATAGATACATTAAGAATAGCTCAGCCATTTATAGGGCAGATTCCACAAGAGTAGATTCCTAATTGTAGTTATTTTCTGTGCCATATAATTCACTGATTCCATCCTAATCATATTACTTCTAATAAATATTATTTAATATTACTAAATTACCAATTAAACCCTCTAAATCAGTGGTTCTCAACCAGGAGCCATCCCCCCAACTACACACACCACAGGAGACATTTGGCAATATGTAGAGACATATTTGGTTGTCACAACTGGGGAAAAGGGAGAGTTGCTAGTTGCATCTAGTGAGTAGAGACTAGGGATGCTACTAAACATCCTATAATGTAAGCTTCTCAATTTATAAATGAGAATAAGGAAGCTCTCTGTACCTAAGCCAGCCTAAAGTGAAGATTATGAAACTAAGTCAAGATTGCATTTATATAAGGGCAAAGTCTAACATACTCGGGTTCAAGGACATGCACTTATCAGTATTTTAAAAGAGTAAGAAAAAATATGTTACCTTTGGAGGACCAAATGTGAATTCTGGGATTAAATGGAAAGAGAGTCTATTTCCAATAGTAGTGCTTTGACTGTGGCCAAATTATCACCCTAACCATTCACATTAATTTGGTTTCCCTTTAGGAAATTAACATAGACAATCATAGTTTCATTTTAAACTGCTTTTTTATAAACTGCTTTAGATACTTTTTCTATAATATCTAGAGAGAGTGAGCTAAAGGAATAGAAAAGAACTAATAAATGCTATATTGTTGAATAATATTTTGTTTTACTTGGCTAATTGCCTTGTTCTATGTAGTTGTTTTCTTAGGGTTGTCTTGCTCTGTCTTGTTTGGTTGCAAGTATTTCATTTGCGATGACCTGACTTGTTTTGGATAACAAGCTGAAAGGAAATTAATAAAATCAGCAGTAGAAATAGTTTCTTCTTTTTATGATAAATTCCTCTTTCAAAGTCAAAGATAAGACATATGTTTTGTCCTGAACCACCAGTGAGATTTTGCAAATATCAGAAATATGCCAAGTGGGGTGAAATGTCCACTGTTTATTTTTACAATGTTGTTCCAGAATGGAGAAACTTACACAGCCAAATTCATTCTGAGCCTCTGTATATTTAAAGGCTATCCCCGATATGACATTTCCGTAATTTATCATGCAGCTCCTGAGGTACAAGTTTTGTACATTCTTTACTTTAAACTGTAATCATAAGCCATGCAAACTAAGAAATGGCCAGCAAGCGTGGTACTGGAGTACTCTACCATTTTTTAAGTTACTATTGTTGGCTCTAGTTGTCACAGGATATTTAGAATCAACAGCTCTGGCAATACTTAATATAAGTCAAGCATAACATCAACATTATTCAAATCTCAATTGAAGATAAATTGTGTTTTGTCATCTTTTAACCATAATCTGAATTTAACTCAATGTCATCTTAACATTCAGTTGACCATCAAATAAGTGAAAGTTTGAGCACTCTTTTTTTTTTAAGATTTAATTTATTCATTTCAGAGAGAGAGAGAGCACAGGTTGGGGGGACAGGCAGATGAAGAGGGAGAAGCGGACTTTCCGCGGAGCAGGGAGCCAGATGCGGGGCTCGATCCCAGGACCCTGAGATCACGACCCGAGCTGAAGGCAGACGCTTAATGACTGAGCCATCCAGGCGCCCCGAGCAGACATTCTATTTTTTTTTAAGATTTTATTTATTTATTTGAGAGAGAGAGAGCACAAGCAGTGGGAGGGGCAGAGGGAGAAAGACAAGCAGATTCCCCACTGATCAGGGACCTGGATGTGGAGCTGGATCCCATGACCCTGAGATCATGACCTGAGCCAAAGTCAGATGCTTAACTGACTGAGCCACCCAGGCTCCCCTTGAGCAGACATTTTTTTTATTATTATGTTATGTTAATCACCATACATTACATCATTAGTTTTTGATGTTGTAGTGTTCCATGATTCATTGTTTGTGTATAACACCCAGTGCTCCATGCAGTACATGCCCTCTTTAATACCCATTACCAGGCTAACCCATCCCCCACCCCCCTCCCCTCTAGAACCCTCAGTTTGTTTCTCAGAGTCCATAGTTTGAGCAGACATTCTTAACAGTGAATACTGTTGTTTCTTTTTATTTTTCTTTTTTAAGATTTTTTGACAGAGAAAGAGACAGCGAGAGAGGGAACACAAGTGGGGGGGGGTGGGAGAGGGAGAAGCAGGCTTCCCACTGAGCAGGGAGTCCAATGTGGGGCTGGATCCCAGAACCCTGGGATCATGACCTCAGCCAAAGGCAGATACTTAATGACTGAGCCACCCAGGCAGCCCAATTACTGTTGTTTCATTTTGAAAAATGTCAACATAACTTTTCACATTTTACTATACACATTTTAATTATTCTAATTTCTAAATTAATACTAGTTAATTTTAACAATATCCATTCATTCGATAACAATTTTCAAATACCTGCTACAAAGTAGTCGCTATTCTTGTTCCAGAAAATGAAAAGGTGACTAAGACACTCTTAAGGGTTCCTAGGGATTTTCCACTGTGTTATGTACTAGGGAATGCAGAAATGGTTGGTTGAACAGAAGAAAGGTGGCCAGGGAGGGGTGAGCAAGGTGAATATAGAGTTTTAAAGACATACTGGAAGAGGAATTAGAGTTAAACAGATAAAGAAAGTAAGGAAGAGCATTCCTGGTCAAGGAAATAGCACATGCAAAAGCAAGCATGTGTGAAAGAACTTTGAAGATTCAGAGATCTACAAGTAGTTGGTTATGGATGGAGTGTAGGTGTGTTGGGGGGAGTAAGTAGAGGTGAGGCCCATATTTTGAAGAGGAGGCAGTGGTGTACATTGATTAAGAATATATACATTTTTATTCAGTTGACTTCAATTTTAATCCTAGCTCTGTCCGGTATTTGCTGGTTGCCATTCTCTTAACTGAAATATAGCACACAACTTGGCATATAGTTAGCTCTCAAAAAGTGAGCACACGACTTGGTATGTAGTAAGTTCTCAATAAATAGTAGCTATCACTGTTAGGAAGTTTATAACATCTTCTAGACAATAAAGAGCCATTGAATAATCTTAACTAAATAATGACCTGATTAGATTTCCATTTTATAAGTAAAATATAGTTAGCATGGTAGAGAGAATAAAGTCAGGACGTCAGATTAGGAGTCCAAGCAAAATGTGATGTCTTGGCTAGGGCTGCTATAACAAATTGCCATAGACTGGATGGCTTAAACAGCAAACATTATTTCTCTTCGTTTAGAGGCTCTGAAGTCCAAGATCAAGGTGCTGGTAGGTTCAGTGTCAAGTGAGGATCTTCTTCCTGGTTTGCAGACAGCTGCCTTCTTGCTGTATCCTCATATGGTAGAAAGATCATTTTTCTTGTGCCTCTTCTTAGAAGGTCTCTACCATTTATAAGGGCTCCGCGTGATCTAATTACCTCCCACAAACCCCACCTCTAAATGCCATCACACTGGAGATTAAGCCTTTAATATGTTAATCTGGGGGGGGCACAAACATTCGGTGTATAGCACATGATTAACACTAAACTAAGACAGTTGCTGTGAAGACGGAGAAGTAGTATTTTGGAGAGATTTGGAGGTCAATTCAATAGTAGTAGGTAGCCAAATTATAGGTGGATGTTGATGGAAAAGGAGGTGTCTAAGAACACTAAAGTTTCCATCTTTGCTGATAAGGTGGATGGTAGATAGAAATAACAGGAAAAACATACTTAAGCAGTATTAACTTTTTTAAATGTTACATTTATAATTGTTTATTAAAATGAATAAATTCAGTTTCTAGTAATATTAATAAAACATGAAAGTAAATATCCAGCTTGTTCATGAATGAGTGTGAAAGTTGAGTAAAAAGAGCATATAACTTCAATATAGTTAAACAACTTTGAATCTTATGACCTGCCTCACAGGAAAGGCAGTGGTAGAGGTTGAATCTTAGTTGTCTTGTTTATACCAAACTGAAAGCATAAGATATACATATTGTGCTTTGTCTCCATTTTTTCTAGGGTCCCCAAGGGCCAAGAGGTCAACCAGGGCCTCCAGTGAGTTTATTTACATTTATATCTGTTTACATTGATGCTTATATGCTTGCCTGGTTTGAGATCTCTACTGAAATTTTAAAATTTGTTATGTTATAGGGTCCACCTGGAGCACCGGGCCCAAGGGTAAGTTTTCTTGGTTTTGTTTACTTTATCTTAGCATATTACATTAAAGCTTTTTAAAGCTTCTTCTAATTCCCTGTTAAAAGGTGTTTCTTCTCCCTACCTCTGTTCTTTTTGCTAATCTGATATAGTGTCTTCCCAACTACAATAACAAAATCTAAACCCCAGACTTTTTGTCTATAAAATGGGAATGGTCTCTTACTTTCTTGGGTGGATTTGAGTTTTATTTTACTTTTTTAAGATTTGTTTATTTGTTTGAGAGAAAGAGAGTGGTGGGGGGCAGAAGGAGACAGAGAAGTCTGCTTAAGCAGACTCCCCACTGAGGTGGGGACCCCAACCCGGGGCTCAATCCCATGACCCTGGGATCATGACCTGAGCTAAAATCAAGAGTTGGACGCCAGCCAACTGAAGCACGCAGGTGTCCCATGAGTTTTAAATAAGAAGTAAAGCACACAGCACAATGCCTGACGTAATAGGTGCTCAAAAAAATACTAACTCCTTCCATTTCTCCCTACTTCTGAGTTCTGGCTCTCCTTTTTTAAATGTTCTTTTTCTGCCAAATAGTAACCCACTTCTTAGGCTTTACATGAATCCTTCTCAGTTGCTGGTGGCTGTAGAAGGCCTCCGACTTATGTATTTGCTTGTTATCTATGACAACCCAGAGCTCTCTACCCTTATCTTTTTTCTTTTTTTTCTACCCTTATCCTTGAAGCAATGCTTCTGTTGCCTTGTTCTCAGCTGTTATCTCCTGGACTCTAAAGTTCCAAGTTTGGTTCCCCACATGCTTTGCATTCACTCTCATACTCAATAATCTATTTGTCTTCCTTCTTCCTGCAAGAGGTCTCCTTCCATCCCCAGCCTTCACCCCTGCCCCACTCTTACAGCAGCCTGGTCAAATACAATGGTCCTTGTTCAGATTTCCTGCCTAAAAAAGATCCACCATTGGCTATATTATCCTAAACAAGGCCTAGTCCTCTGCTTTCTGGCCTTACTTATTTCTACATGCTGCTCTAGTATCGTTTGGATCTCTGACAGTTCTAGCTGGTGGATCACTGTGGTCTATTCTCAGCAGGCGAGAAATGCTTCATTCCTTTCAGCTTTTCATCAGCGCAAAGAAGAACTTTCAAGCAGGATGCTACAGGAAGATTCTATCCTTGGAAACAGGAGGTTCATTCTCCATGACTTTTAAAAAATTACTCCCCGTTTCTGGCCATCTGACTGGGAGATTGAAACCTTCCCTGGCATGAGCATCAGTACGAATGCCTGTCTTTAATCTTAAAGTATTCTCTACTTCTGGTCCTCTTCCCCCCTAGCTCTCTACAAAGCATGGGTTACAAATACCTTCATCAGTTTTCTTCGCATTTTATAATGACTTTGATATAAGTCCTAAAAGATCACTGGCAAATTAGAGGTGTTTAGTGAAAGTTTTCACATTGAAATACCAAACTTTATAGCACCATAGCCCTGTCTCAGTTGAAAAATGTTTGTATGTGTTCCTATACAGCCAAAATGAAGTAGTATGAGAGATTATTGCTCTGAACAAAATGTGGATAAGAATATATACTTTGAGGAATTATTAGGAGAATTAAATAAGAAGATATGTGTGCTTGTCCCATTGTAGATACTTGATAAATTTTAGTTTCTTTATTTCCTTCTTTTCTTCCTCTCTTTCCTTTTTGTCTTCCTTCCTCTTGGTCAGTATGAAAGCTAGTTTCCTTATATTATCTTTCTGGGATTTGCACAGGCCATGGTAGGAAAGCGGCAGTGTAACCCTGAGAAGGAGTCTAAATGTCAATGAGAAAATACCTATATATTTTATCTAAGGTCAACTTATGATCATATCTTCTTTGAAATTCTTCCTAATTCCTTCTCATCACACTGCTAGGTAGAACTTCTCCTTCGTACTGATACTCAATCATTTTCATGCTAGTGTCTTTCTATTATGAGATTGTGAACTCTCTAAAGGTGGAAACTATTTTTTTAATTTCTTTTCCATCCAAGCTTTTAATAAGTGTTGAATGAATGAATAAATGAGTCCAAAAAGCAAGTTGCATCTCTTGGAAAATTTCAGTGGGAATCCTCCAAGATAGAATATTTCACTTGGAGGGAAATAATGTCTAGAATGGAATAGGATCATAGAATTAGAGATAGACGTTCTCTTAGTAATTTATTTAGCAATTATTTGAGACTGACTTGTGACTCATTAGTGACTCTTTTTTCTTAAAAAAGCATTTGACAAAATAATACAACATCCTTTCCTCATTAAAACTCTTCGAAGTACAGGGATAGAGGGAACATACCTCGACATCATAAAAGCCATCTATGAAAAGCCCACACGAATATCATTCTCAATGGGGGAGAACTGAGAGCTTTTCTCTTAAAGTCGGGAACACAACAAGGATGCCCACTCTAACCATCATTGTTCAACATAGTACTAGAAGTCCTAGCCTCAGCAACAAAAAGAAATAAAAGGCGTCCACATTGGCAAAGAAGAAGTCAAACTCTCTCTTCACAGATGACATGATACTTTATGTGGAAAACCCAAAAGACTCCACCCCCAAGTTATTAGAACTCATACAGCAATTCAGCAACGTGGCAGGATACAAAATCAATGCACAGAAATCAGTTGCATTTCTATACACTAACAGTGTAACTGTAGAAAGAGAAATTAAGGTATCAATTCCATTTACAACAGCTCCAGAAACCGTAAGATACATAGGAATAAACCTAACCAAAGAGGTAAAGGATCTATGCTCTAGAAACTACAGAACACTTATGAAAGAAATTGAGGAAGACACAAAGAGATGGAAAAACATTCCATGCTCATGGATTGGAACAGTTTAGTGAGTCTTATTCAGAATTCTTTCAAAATGAAATTAAATGAAAGAGAAAAAAATACAGGGAGTGACTGCTTGATGGGTACAAGGTTTCTTTTAGAGGTGATGGAAATATTCCAAAATTAAGTAGTGGTAATGGCTACACAACATAGTGAATTACTAAAAGCAACTGAATTGTACACTTTAAAAAATGGTTAAAATGGTGGATTTTATGTTATGTGAGTTTTATTTCAATAAAAAAAGCAAAAAAAAAAAATCAGTATATCAGCCCTAGTAAGAAAAATATGGTTTTGTAAAACTTTTCAGTTAAATGTATGTATTTTTGGGTGAACCTTATCATGAAGTAAAAATATATTTCTTGCTATGGGTCAAGATAAGTTTGAAAACCTCGAATCCAGTTTAACTCCCTTTTCTTAATACCTATGGAAGTAAAGTATTGTGCCCAAGTTCCTAAAGAAGAATAGCTAAAAAGTGTTTCAGGAAAAGGAATATATATTGATGGTGCTTTTGGGTTTGAGGATATTATCACAGTGATGGCCAGACCTCAGTGCACATGGTAAAATATTTAGAAACTAACAAATCTACAACAGGCTGTCAAAGTTAACCAAAAATGATTGGTGGGGAGCAGGGAAGAACAAGATGAGTATGTGTGTTAAAGAGTAGGGGGTGGAAACAGTAATCATTAAAAATAATTAAATGAGATAAGGAGTATTCAGCTGATTTACTAACTGTGAAACCTGGATTGGTGAATATAGAGGTTGCAGCTGCTGGTATAGTCCTGGTTCCTTGGGACAAGCGGTTACTTCCACTGTGGAGAAGGGTATGACCTGAAATCAGTTCTTATCCCATCAATGTTTACCCTATCCAGTGATCTTAAGACTTCAGAAACCTTAAAAATAACACTGTTCCTCAAAATACTAGAGTGCTCAGACTAGATCTACATTTTATTCAAATAAGTTGGGGAAGAATTATGAAGATTTCATTCCCCCGAGGTATAATGAATCCTAATTTCCCTCATCAGTGCCAACAATCTGATTACTTCTTATTCCCTCTATTCTATTTTATGTTCATGTTTATAAACGTTAAGTGATTTTCATGTGAGAACGTGTTCTCTCTAACAAGAGCACATGGAGGGAGCTTCTGCTTTCGGATTCCTTCACTGCACCTAATGAGAGTTTTACACTCAGATGGGCACTTAGATTTACTGAATGTCTTCCCCCCGCAAATCCTCTTAATAGTTTCTCTGAGCCTGCCCTCACTAAAGACTACCCTTGGGAAAACATTAATAATTTCAACAAATTGAATGCCTACTATGTGCCAGGCATGAGCTAGGCTTTGGGACTACATTGGGAATTATACAAATATGTGTACTGCCAAGAAAATTTATGAGTGACTAAGTGTTATGACATTTCTTTTCTTTCTAATGCCTATTGGGAGGGGGGAATAAAAGCCTTTTTCATTGAGTTAACATTTAAAATTGCTGGTACCTTACTATGCATTAAGAAACATACTCTACACTATTAATCTACTAAAAGCCATTGTGTTCTTCACTGCCCCCCATTCACAGAAAATAAAAAAATAGTCATTTTACTTAAGAATAGTGATGTAAGTCCTCTGTTGGTGGATGTTTAAGTTGTTTCTAATCTTTTACTAATACAAACAGTACAAATGTCCAGTCCCTATGCTTATCATTTTGCAGAATATCCATAGGACTAATTCCCAGCAGTGCGATGGTTAAGTGTAAGGGATAATGAGCATATTTATTTATTTATTTATTATTGTTGTTAATTTTGGTAAAATATACATAACATAAATTTATCATTTTAACCCTTTTAAGTGTACAGTTCAGTAGCATTAAGTACCTTCACGTGTTGTGCAACCATCTCCACTATCCATCGCCAGAACTTTTTTGCTCTTTCAAAACTGAAGCTCTGTACCCATTAAATAATAATTCCCCCATTCCTCCTTCCTCAGCATCTGGCAACTACCATTCTACTTTCTGTCTCTATTAATTTGACTACTCCAGGAACATCATGTAAGTGACAGTCATACAGTATTTTACCTTTTATGACTGGCTTATTTCACTTAGCATAATATCTTCAAGATTCATCTGCATTGCAGCGTGTGTCGGAATTTCCTTTTACAGGCTGAATAATATTCCATTGT